AGCTGTTCCCAAAAGTTGTCTTGGGACAGGTTAGTGATGATGAAGGCTAAAATGTTAAAAAGTAATAGTATTTGGATGTCATTGAAAAATTGATATCCAACTAATTTACTCCATGGCTAAAAATATTATCTCCCATTTTTGAAGGGGTATGGATTAACTGAAACCAGCGGCGGATTCTTCCGGACAGTTGGTCCCGAGGAGAGTCATCGATTAGGCTCAACGGGGCGGCTTGCAGCAAATCACCAAGTGAAGATTGTTGATCCTGAAACTGGTGCTGCTTTGCCTCCTTGCAGGTCAGGGGAGCTTTGGGTTAAAGGGCCAACAGTCATGAAGGGTAATCTTTTATATGTCTTGGCTGGCTGGATGTTTTGTTAACTAGGACCACTTTTAAGTGTGTCTGAACCGTCATCTTCAGTTTGAGCTTCCAAGCCTAATGTGACATCGGTGCAGCCTTGAAGGCCCATTGATGATCATGTACCCAATGGAGTGTTCCCTGCTCAAACCTTGTTTATATATGAGAAATTATATACTAATTAAGGAATCAAACCTTGTAATAACTATCAAACAACAAGGTGGAAAAAAGGATTTAGCATCCAAGAAATGTTCATTAGGATAAGCAACCTGTAGGGTTTATGATTATATGATGCATATGTTTTTAACATTATGAAGGAGAACTAGGTTCAGTAGCTCTTGCTATATTTGTTAGAGTTTATCAAAGCTTTTTTGTGATTTTGGCTATAGGCTATGTTGCCGACGAAGAGGCGACCTCTGCAACTTTAGATACGAATGGATGGTTGAGGACCGGCGACCTATGCTATATCGACAATGATGGTTTCCTTTTCGTCATAGATAGGTTAAAAGAACTAATAAAGTACAAGGGATATCAGGTACTGATCGCACTGGTATATATTGTAGAGTTTTGCTAGAATAACACCAAAATTTGACACCAAATATTACATCTGCTTTTTAAAAGTGGTATGAGGGGCTGAAATGGAATTAATGCTTTTTCATGATTGGTTTTCAATCAATAAAATAAGCAGATGTAATCTTAGATGTCAAAATCTGGTGTCCCTCTAGTAATGCCCTATATTGTAACCTTTGCAAGAGGTGTCAAATTATTTTAAAAAAATGTTGAACTTTTTATAGTAGTTAGTACTCTAAACAATTCAAATTCTTGTAACTTGTCTTCAATTTGCATTAATATGCAGGTTCCTCCTGCAGAATTGGAAGAATTGCTTCAGTCCCATCCGGATATTGTTGATGCTGCTGTGATTCCGTAAGCACCATTATCTGCTTCACTTGTAAATTTAGTTATGCATGTATACTAGAGAAGAATTTAGTTGATTCACTTAGAAACTCATAAGCTAGCCTTTGCTATTGCACGAAATTAAAAACCTACACCTAACAACAGTTTAATCTTAAATGAATCTATGTAAATTATATATTGAATTAATTGGAACACCCATTGTCATTGATCAGAAGGTATCTTGATTTGCTGATTTGTTAACTAGCCTGTTACTTTATAGATCACAAGTGTTGAGAAAATATACCCTCGTCGTAGGTGATCAATCTACTTAGAGTTTTCTCTCGATTGCGGAATGCAGGATCTTGGAAGTATATGAATGAATAAATAAATAACACTCACGAAGCAAATAAAGAAGAAATAAATAACTCACTAGACACGCAAGATTTATAGAGGTTCGGAGCTAGTCCTACGTCCTCTTGAGCCTCACCAAGCCAATCCACTATTGAACAAGAAAATACAAGTATACAAGGAGTTTATACTCACTTCCTATTTTCTCTCACAAGAGATTACACTCCGAAAAGAAACACTTGAAGAGTAATTACCTATCTCTTCTCTCTCTTCTCTCTATCTCTCTCACAAGCTTAAGGCTTGATGCTTGGTACAAATTTAATGAAGAGGAACTACTCATTTATATAGGCATGCAAAGGGATCAGCTCCACCAACTATGGTTGGTGGCTGCCCCTTTTGTTGACAAAGGAGTATAGAGATGGCTGCTCCTCCTTTGTTGACTAAAGAAGCTGTACACAAGTCTAAAGTTTACAGCTTCTAGATAGAAGCTATGGGTGGAGGTTTATTAGCCTCCACCACTTGACAACAAGTTCTTGGATTCACATTCTTGCATTCTATTAATATTTTGAATGCAATGTATATAATAGCAACAAAATTAATGGCAGGTACCCAAATGAAGAAGCAGGGCAAGTGCCAATGGCATTTGTGGTGAGTCGACCCCAGATTTCCATAAATGAATCAGAAATCATGGATTTCATTGCCAAACAGGTAATTAAACTTTCCTTAATTATCTATTACCGAATTAATCTTCTCATAATTCATGAAGATCCCCACTAGTATAAAAATGGGCTTTGGTCACGTTGTAAGTATAGCCACGGTTACATGTTGCGCCGAAACTGTGGCCAAATGTTCTGTGACAAAATTTGACCTGTTAGTCACAGTGCATCACTAGTGCTGGCTTCATTGTCATCAAAATGACTACCACAGTTTTTTTTTTTTTTTGAAGGATTCAATAAATTTTAGTTATTGTAGGGTTTATTAATCAGGACTCAATACCCACACTTTGTATTATTTACATACCTTAAAAATAAAAATTAAGAGTTTAATTCTCAGCTTTGAATCAAATGGTTTTTATGTATATATATAGGTGGCGCCATACAAGAAAATAAGGAAAGTAGCATTCATTGATTCCATACCCAAGAATATTCAGGGCAAGATACTGAGGAAGGAGTTGTTGAAGCTTGCACTCTCCTGCAGCAGCAGCAGCAGCAGCAGGCAACCTACTACTGCTAAGCTTTGATGTTTTATTAGTTAAATGCTTACTCAGAGATGAACAGAAGAGCACCAAATAAGTACTTTACAGTTTGCACCAAATTGAACATTTGTGGGTCACCCCTTATCCTAGGTAACCCCTTAGTTCAAAACGTGGTCACTAGTTGAACTTCAAAAAAGTGAGGGGCGTTTTTGTAATTTCTGTTTGAGGAATGAAGGGGTATGCAGGGAAAAGTTGTGGGGTGGAAATCTGAAATTAGTAGAGTTTAGAATCTTCGTTCTTCTTGTTTCTCTAGTCTAGTTCAAGTTACGAACCGAAACACTCATCGGATAAAAGAACAGGTGAGTCGATTTCCTCTTATTTAGAAAGATTATGATTTTTTTTTAATCTGTATTATCAGAAATTTGAAATGGATTTCAATCTATTTTCAGATTTGTTGAAAACGATTTCACAGATCTTCAGAAAAACTCTGAATCAAATTCTTTTTAATTGATTTTTCATATATATATATATGAAATTTGAAATCGATTCCTCACAAAAATGGGTTTCTATTCTCTAGATCTGCAAAACCCTTGAAGAACACAAACAGATACACGAGTTAACAATCAAACCAGGTATGTTTAACCACGTTTTTGTATGATGCCATCCTTCTGTTCTTTGAATTGCTTTGGGAATCGGCAAAGCATTATTATCTAGATTGAATTCAAAATGCTTCTGTATTATATCAGCTGGAAAGGTGTTATAGAATGGAAGATAGGGATTTAGTCTATTGGAATTCTTTGATTTATGGGTATTTGAGATGTGGGGAAATCGACCTTGCCCATAAGTTGTTCAATGAAATTCCCGAGATGGATTCTTTCTCGTGCATTTTTTTTTCCTTCGCATTGTACCTGGAATAGCTAATTCTTTTGTTGCGGTCCGGAAGGAATAGCGAATTCAATTCCTCTAATAGTTCAAGTTTGCCAAAAAACCTAATGGTGTCAAGCATGACTGGATCCTTTGGATTATTACACCTCAGACTTTTAACTGTTTGAATGACAATGTCTTTTGTAGTTAATGCAACCTTAACAATTACATGGTATGAGCTAGGGTTGACCGGGTCAAGTCAACATGGTTCGAGCATATTATTTATTAGTGTAGTGTTAATATTCAAGGCAGATACGCATTCAAAGTTTTCGATGCGTAAGAAACATTGTTCCGTTCATAAACAAGTAACAAGGGAAAATTTGACAAACTTATTATTTTTTAGACCTCAGACAACAAACAACTTTTTCAAGTTCAGATCAGACTACAGAGTTTATATATAAATTCAGGCTTGAAAATAAAGAACCAAATGTCATTTTCCTACCACATAGACCCGTCCAGTCATCATATCAAGCAACTCCATCAAGACCGTCATTGACAACAGTTGTGTATGACCAGAATAGAGACAATTTTATAGTGGTGCTAGTGAGTTATCTGAATTTTGATTTGATAATACCTTTATATAAAATGTAGGAGTTAAAAAGAGGGTCATCCTTGTAGGAACTCGTTAAATTAGGGTTTTGTGCACAAGGAAAAGTAATCTTCATATACTATTTGTATGCTTAGATGAGAGTTTCAACCTGTGAATTCAAAAGTTTGTGCCCGGTTTCAAGATATACGTAGGAGACACAGACAAAGCTGTTTTAGAGTTTATCCATCTTATGTTCTTTCTGTTCCTTGGTGATTCCATGAACTTATCTGGATATATTTTGTTTATTCCAAATTTGTCGAGAAGTATTAATAGAACTTACCTAAAATGCAAAACTTTAAAAATTGTCATTCTTTTCTTCTCTTGGTCAATTTATATTTGGTTCATATTAAACTTTTCAATAGATGAGGCTATGCTTCTATAAGTTTGATTTTTATGTAAAAGAGAGATGTAAGTAGGCTTGTGAAAGTACATTTTGTTTTTTTAACCAAATAGATCAGTAAAAGCATTTTTAGTTTTTAGTATCATCTCCATTTTAGTCATTACATAGCTGAAGCACTGCAACACTGGAAATTCCACGCAGCTTTTGAAACTCACAATACTTCTAAAATCACAGGTTACCAAAAGCTCAGCTACTTTACTTCACAACTGTTTATTTCTACAGCACAACTAAAATCGCAGCAATACCAAACTCAACGGTGAGGGAGAGATCTATTGTGAAGCGCTGAAAGTATCCATTAATGGCGGATTATCACTTTGTATACAAGGACATCGAGGGAACGACGACTCAATGGGACGATATACAAAGAAAACTGGGGAATTTACCTCCAAAGCCTGCTCCTTTCAAACCCCCTCCCTTCACTCCCTCGGAAGACGAGAGTTCAAAACCCAAGGACAAGGCCTGGCTCGACAACAAAACCGAAGAAGACCTTGAGGACCTCGAAGATGATCCCAATCTTGACGATGACCGGTTCCTTGAAGAATATAGGTTGGCATCACATCTTCGCAAATTTCAGTATCTCTTTGGTTTTAATAGAATAAGGTTTTTTTTTTTTTTTAAACTTATTATTGAAAAATTACTGTTTTCCTCCAATGTAATTTGTGTTAAAGAAAGAAAAGGTTGGCGGAGATGAGAGAGGCTGCTAGGATTGCAAGGTTCGGATCTGTGATTCCGATATCAGGAGCTGATTTTGTTCGAGAGGTTTCACAGGCTGCATCGGACGTTTGGGTCGTTGTGTGTTTGTACAAAGAAGGGTAACGTATAAATCTGATATTTCCTCTGTTTCCTTTTTTATATTGATTCTTTGAAAAGTTTGACCCTTTTGGTTGGTTAGTTGATGTTGTAATTGGGTAGTCTGGTAAGCCTGTTTTCAACAAGATCAGTATCTCAAAAGATGCATATTAACTCTGAACCTATCTCAGATCAAGTTGTTCTATAGTACCTGCTTTAAGTCACTTTTGTTACTGAACTACCAGTCCAACATGTTCATGCTTAAACACATGGATTTAAATTAACATTTACATTCATTAAAAGCATAAATCTGGTTATATATATATTAATGGGTCAGGTTATATAGCCCCCCTTAAAAAATCCCCCCTTGTGGGGCCCACATGAAATGCATCCAGGGGTTGATTTTTGGTGAGAATGATCTACATAATGAGGAAACTATGAAATCAGCTTGTTCTAAAACTTCTAACCTCAAATCTACCCGTTTTAAATCAACGGTCAAAATAAAAGTTTAAAACTTGTAAGTTTTTTAAGGGCTAATTTGAGGGGGTTAAAAGTTTTAGAACGAGCTGATTTTTTAATATGATGAAATGCATAGTGAGAAGAACATCCTCCCAAAAATCAGCTCCTGGATGCATTACATGTGGGCCCCACAAACGGGGGGGTTGTATAAGGGGCGCTATATATGGGGGGCTATATAACTTGACGCATATATATATTCTGCATGTACAGTATTTCTATACCTTTTGCATATATAAATGTCAAAAGATGAGCTTCCTGACTAGTTAATGAGTTGAGCATCTCCTATTTAGACCTCTCACTTCCTATCCTAGCATGGCTATCCAACATTTTTCTCATTTGTGTGTGTGTGTATCTTTCTTCCTGACAATTAATGTACTTACTATTAACTAGCAGAATTCCAGAATGTGGGATACTCTTACGGTGCCTGGAAGAACTAGCTACAAGATATCCAGCAACAAAATTCGTCAAAATAATATCCACAGATTGCATTCCGAACTACCCAGATCGTAATGTTCCTACTATCTTGGTTTACAATAACAGTGCTGTCAAAGCAACTTATGTAGGCTTGCATCATTTCGGGCGGAGATGCACGCCTGAAGGTATTCTGTCTATCGAGCATTTCCTACTTGTTATGCCGTTTTCTGTATCTTATGATCCTCCTTTTTTGTTAGTTCTAGAAAATGTTACCAAGAAGTACAGTCATGCAATTTAAGATAAAAATTGTTCGTGATCCTCTGCTGTCTGATGGGAATGATTTCTGTAATGGATTTACTTGGACAGCTTTGGGTTTCGGAGCTATTGTTGGAACTGATATCTTGTTCAGACTTACAACATCGCCATTGACTGAAATCCTGAGCACTGGTCAATCAAATCAGATTTTGATTGCCTAGTGACTTCTGATGCAAAATTAAATGATCTTTCGTGTTTCTCATAAAATAAAATTTAGTTAAGATTTAGGAAAGGGACATGGAATTTTATCTTTTAGGTTGAACCATTTGAAAGACCTGCTGCATTTACTTCTTGTCCCATCTTTGTTATAACTCAAAGCCTCACTCTTTCTACAACTTCCAATACTGAACTTTTTGTTATTCGTTGCTCATTCTTTTTAATTCCTTGTGTGAAATTTCAGGTGTTGCACTAGTTCTCTGCCAATCAGATCCTGTACTGAACGATGGCCAGAGTGCAAGTGAATCATCTAGAGATGCTGTCATTGATGGAGTTCGAAAGAGGTTTATAGAGAAGGTTGTAACCGAGCACGAAGATGAAGATGATGACAGGTATTCTAGTGATTAGGATTTTAAAACTATGACCTATTCTGAGGAGAGCTGTTGATATGCAATAGATTGAGTTCTGATTTTGTTTCTTTTTTAAGTTATGGTTTGTGTTCAACAAGTTGAATGTAAGTGTGCCGTTGGTTTGTTTGTCTTTTTCTTTTTTCCACCTTAAATTGTCTTAATTTTAAATGTTGTTTCTTTTCTTTTTAATCTCAAAATCTACATGCAAGGCATATTACAGTGATATTACTTGAGCCGCTGCAAATATTTGCATGACCAACCATTCTCCGTGTGACGTCACCTGCAACTTGGGCTCCGCTCGGTATCCGGAGAATTTTGTGAAAATTCGCAGCCCAAAATTCTATTGTATTTGCCTTGATTGTTGGTATATAAGTGTAATCATTACACTAAATTGTAGCGGTGCTTTACATAAATTTGATGAAATAGAGTGTGAATAAATGCATTCATTTTTATGACTATAAATATTCACAACCTATTTTACTAAATTTGTATTGGGAACCACTAAAACTTAGTGTAATGATTGCACTTATCTATCTAATTAAGGCAAATACAATAGTATTTTGGGCTACGAATTTTCACAAAAATTCCCCGAAACTAAGCACAGCATTGGTTTTCAAAACGTTGAACATCGTTGCTAAAACATTTTTGACTGCAAGCTTAGCAACTTATTTGTAGATATTTCTTAAAAATAAAGTTACTTCAAGGCTTTGTGAAAAAAACATCAAAGAAATTCAGTAGGGAGACTGAGTTAATAGTAATCCATGTTCTTTGTTTTCTTTTTCAATCATTATGAATGGTTTCTATCAAATGATAACATTGAAATGTGATAAAGAGGATTCTATTCCACATAAGCTTTATAAATATGGACATTTTCTTTTTGTTGTAGGTTGATGGTTAATTGATCATTAAATTTAAGAAGGGATAAAGATCTTTATTAATATTTTTAAATCATTGGATAATTATATTTAACAATGAATAGAAAATTTTTAAATTCTGTTTTAAAATCTTGTGTCTCAAGAACAAGACCGGATTACCCTACAATCCCCATCCATAGGAAACTATAAAAATGAGAAGTCTTTATCCCCCTAAATTGCAAGTCAATGACATTATTCTCTTAGATTTTCAAATTTCTTGAAATATTAGCTTTTTTTTTTAATTCTATATTTTTGGCTCTTCACTTTACTTGGGGGTGATTGTCTTTTTACCACTAATTAGTGGCAAGTTCACAAAAAAAAAAAAAAAAAAAAAAAATTTAACTACTAATTAATAGTAATTAGTGGAAAATCTTTAATTACAGACTTCAAACCTATTTAGTAAACCTATTAAATAATAGTAAACTCCCTGCGGGATTTGCCACTGTTCCGACTTAGCCTCCAGGATGTCGAAGGTGCCCTGGTTTAAATTTGTGTGGTTAGGTAGCAACTACATTTGCTTGGCGTTTCTCTCATTATTATATTTTATTTTTAATAACACCAAGATCTTACTAGTAATTTATTAAAATCGTAAATGCTTACCAATGAAAACAAGCACCTACCGTAAATCAAGGTTGGGCTGTCAGCACCCCCTTCCTTCACTGTAGTTCCCAAGATGATAACTTTTGGAGAGCTGCTGTTTGGCCAGACCAAATGACAAAACAAATGCGAGATTCTTATATGGCATAGTGGGCCCACTGCCACATAAGTTAGAAACTCCCTCATAACACTTTTAAGAAGGGAAAAGTGGTGGGTCCCACCCTACCGCATAAGGATCTGGCATTGGTTTTGTCATTTGGTCGGGCCAAAAAGCTTTATTGTAACTTTTGAACAACATTGCCTATTTATTACCTTACGAAAAATATTGTAAGGTAACTCAAGATCTTGATTTGGTTCCCACGTACATCTATTTTCTGAACGTCTAACTTAAATATTTTAAGGGTTTAGGGTTTATTTTCTCAGAAAAAGAAATAAGAAAAAAGAAAAAAACCTAAAAGATTAATTGATTTTGACCAGCGGTTTGGATATTAATTTATAGAGGAACGACGGCGCTAATGCATCACTAATTTGACGATTTGATTCTAAAGATAATAATTTGATAGTTTTAATTTTAAATTAATGAATGTGTATCCGTGTCGATGGTATTATCTGTAAAGCTAAGAGTCTGATGTTCCTTTGGGGTTTGAGGGAGGATATTTTTAAAGGGTACTGTTTTATCGACTTGTTAAATCGATGGGAGGCGTTAATGGTGTTGTAAGTCCTCCATTATATGTATGTTGTTGCTGCTCTCTTTTGATTTTCTAATAAGATTTTAACCTTTCTCCCTCAAAAAAAAAATAATAAAAAAAAATCCAACTAGAGAAAAAAATTTGGTAGACCATGTCAAATTAATAACAAAAGATCCTGAGAGAGGTATGTCTAAAAATATCCTTCCTCTTTTTTTTCCTTTTTTTTTTTAATGAGGATAGTCTCATATGGAAAAATAAAAACTTTGTAACCCAATATGTAAGATTATAGACTTCTTCATTCATTGCCAATTAGTTTTAAGTTGGATGCTACAAATTTAATATGGTATCGAAGCAAGTCACATGGTGTAAGGTCCATAAGTTCCCTCATGGATTTTGTCAATTTGCGTGTCAAATCGAACTCAATATGGTCAATTAGAGTTAGCAAGTTATCTCTATATTTCTAATCATTGAAGACTTAAAGTGAAAGATAAAAGACTTGTGCAAAGCTCAACTCGCCACTATTGGAAGACATCTTAAGATGGGAGAAGCTTTGACAAAAGGGAAGATATGATATCTCTACTCTCATTAATTGCTCTAAATATTCTTTAAGGTTTGTATTTAATGTTTTATAAGATTCCTTAATTTGTTTTGTAAGCATGTGCAGGAAACAGGTTATTTGACAATCCGTGCTTTAAGTTATATTAAGTCATGTATAAGAAAATATGAGTTGTAATGGGGAATATTTTTTTTATTATTTTCTTATGTATGAATTTGTCACGAAAATAACAAAGGGGGAGAATGTTAGGTCCATGAGTTCACTCATGTCATATTTGTCGAATTTTGTGTCAAATGTAACTCAAGAAGGTCAATGTAACTTGAGTTATAATTTCAGAAAAACTAGCTTAGTGGTTTCGAAACCGCCCTATTAGTTTCGATACCAAAACGCATCTGTTCAACAAATGAGTTTTGGTTTCGATACCAACTTTACGCTTTTGAAACCGCTTCAAAAGTTGTCTCAATGACACTTTTGGTTTTGATACCATGCTATGTATTGATACCAAAATTCTTTTGGGAACAAAAGAGTTTTAGTATCTATACCACCTTCTTGGTATCGATACCATCTGCTTATTTTTTCAACAGATGCTTTACGCTTTTGAATCCGTGTTTACGGTATCGAATGCGTCGTCCAGATCCGCGAATCTGGGCTGTTTTTTAGAGCTAGAAAGTGCCTTATATGAGTTATTTTTCACCATTCTTATTTTAGGAAGAACATGGAAGCGTGAGAAACAACTTTTAGTGGGTGAGGGTGTCATAGACTAGATCGAAGAACATCACTCATTGTTAATAGTGTGTTCTAGATCTAGAAATGCACTCATGATAGTTAGTGCATTTCAGATCTAGATCTGGGAATCACCATTATAAATAAAGTTGATTCATTCATGTTTAAATCAACCATTCATCATATTCAACAAGTTCCTCGTTTCCACATACACTCCCCGAAACAATTCTTTGTCCCTACTTCCTAGAAGGTTTCTAACAATTCGAAGATTTGAACCCTTCATAGAAGACTTTGTTAAAGAAGCAGTAAAAAATTTCATGGTAAAATGGGTTGGGGTTGCATCATTTCAATCCTATTATATTGTTTAGTGTAATCTCAACAGTTAGATTGCCATCTTTCAACAGCAACTTACATATGTTTCGCACGTGTGAGGGAGCTTAACGGAGAAAAATGGGACGTTGGGCAAGCCTGACTTTTAATACATTCATAAGGGTAAAAGGGATTTTTTAATGATGCATTTTGACGTATGTTCACTTTTTTAGACGGTTAATTGAGTCAACCGTCATCTTAGGACCCAGACTCAAAGGTGGATATATTCAGGACCCTGAGCCTAATATCTAACTATTTCTGGGACCCTAATAATTTTTTTAGCAAATTCGGACTAAATATTTCTAAACGAGGCTGGTATTGACATCTAAAAATGGGATAAAGGCAACTATCAAGCATAGTCAAAGTTAGTCTTTTAAGTTGACTATATAAAAATAATAAATAGATAAGGGCTATCAAATTTGGTCAAGCTAATTACACAAATAATTGTTTGACCTTATGTTCCATCCCTTGAAAACCTAACCACCTCGAACGGAAAAGTTGAATTTTTGTTCGGCTTTCTCTCGTCGAACATCATTTTTCGATCATCGGAGGTCGTGATCATAGAAGATGGTGAGTTCTTCGAAGTAAACCGATAAATGGGAGAGTTATGCTAAAAAAATATTTTTGGAGAGGGTATTTGTTCCACTATTTCTTCTAAAGAAACTCAAACAAACTATTTTTCGATAATTGGATCAATCTTTGAACTTTTTTTTCAAGTGTTTTCGAGTTTCCGATCGAAGAAAATAAAACTCAAATTCGCAACATGTTCGCTCTTAACAGTGTGAACAATTCAGAATGTTTGCATATAAGAGTGTGAACAATTTAGAATGTTCACATACAAGGGTGTGAACAATTTAAAAAGTCCGCATATAAGGGGGTGAACATTCAGAAAGTTCGCATAGAAGGGTGTGAACAATAGAAAAGGTTCACACTTTACAGTGTGAATATATCATCGTCCCAATTTTTTTTTTTAAACCTAAGTTAAAACTTACAAAAATCACAAGAAAATATGGATTCAACATGATTGTAACTCTAAAAAAATGAAAAAATCTAAAAATATTAACAAAAATTGACGAAATGCTCGATTTAGTTGGTCAATGGATTTTATGTTTTGGGTTAAGTTTTAGATTTGGTCAATGGGTTTTGACTA